TTAATATGAGGTTTACTATAGATACAGTTTTATAATTACTCTATCACTTAAGTAACTTTTATTCTAATTATAGTTTGCTGGGATATTTTAATTTTGGTGCTTAATTTTCTAAATGTTTCTTTTGCTGCTATTGAGATCATCATATGAGTTTTCTTCTTTATTCTGTCAATGTAGTTATTTTAATTTTAGAATATTAAAAAAAACCTTGCTTTTTGGAATAAACTTAACTTTCTTGTAATATAGTCTTTTACTACACATTTGATTTGCTCATATTTTTTCCAGGTTTTGCCTTGTTCATGAAAGATTGCCTTGTAAATTTCATTCTTAAAGTGAAATATCATTTGGTATCAGAATTTCATTGACCTTAAAAAGTATTTGGGAACTTTCTTTTTTTATTATCATCATCATTTCTCTGGAATCATTTGTATAAATGGTTGTTATTTTTCTTAAAATGTTTGAAAGAAATCACTATAAAGTTGTCTGGTTCTAACATTTATTTGATATTTTGGAAGTTTTAGTTTCAGTTTCAATTTGTTGAATACATCTAGAACTATTCAGATTTTCTAATTATTTCATCTGTTTTTGAAAGTTTTTTTCTTGGCTATTTTTCTGAATATTGAAAATGTATAGACACAAAGTTGTTTATAGCATGCTTCTATTTTTTATAATAAAATCTTAAAATAATTCTCTTTTTGATCCTGGTACTAGTAATTTGTACTTTCTTTTATATATAGTCCTAAATGTTTAAATAGTATGTAGAAACACAACTGACTTCCATAGCGTAACATTGTATACTCTGACCTTTCTAGACTCATTAATTCTGGGAATTTCCTTTTGTAGATTCTTTGAAATATTCTACATAGATATTATGCCATCTATGGACAAAAATACTTTCATTCAGTTCAGTTCAGTCGTTCAGCCATGTCCGACTTTTTGCGATCCCATGAATCGCAGCATGCCGGGCCTCCCTATCCATCACCAACTCCCGGAGTTTACTCAAACTCGTGTCCATCAAGTCGGTGATGCCATCCAACCATCTCATCCTCTGTCGTCCCCTTCTCCTCCTGTCCCCAATCCCTCTCAGCATCAGGGTCTTTTCCAATGAGTCAACTCTTCACATCAGGTGGCCAAGGTACTGGAGTTTCAGCTTCAGCATCAGTCCTTCCAATGAACACCCAGGACTGATCTCCTCTAGGATGGACTGGTTGGATCTCCTTGCAGTCCAAGGGACTCCCAAGAGTCTTCTCCAACACCACAGTTTAAAAGCATCAATTCTTCGGTGCTCAGCTTTCTTCACAGTACAACTTTGACATCCATATGGGATCACTGGAAAACCATAGCCTTGACTAGAAGGACCTTTGATGGCAAACTAATGTCTCTGATTTTTAATATGCTGTCTAGGTTGGTCATAACTTTCCTTCCAAGGAGCAAGCGTCTTTTAATTTCATGGCTGCAATCACCATCTGCAGTGATTTTGGAGCCCAAAAAAATTAAGTCTGTCACTGTTCCCACTGTTTCCCCACCTATTTGCCATGAAGTGATGGGACCAGATACCATGATCTTAGTTTTCTGAATGTAGAGCTTTAAGCCAACTTTTTCACTCTCCTCTTTACTAGTGTGTGAGATGAGTGCAATTGTGTGGTAGTTTGAGCATTCTTTGGCATTGGAATGAAAACTGACCTTTTCCAGTCCTGTGGCCACTGCTGAGTTTTACAAATTTTCTGGCATATTTAGTGCAGCACTTTCACAGCATCGTCTTTCAAGATTTGAAATAGCTCAACTGTAATTCCATCACCACCACTAGCTTTGTTCATAGTGATGCTTCCTAAGGCCCACTTGACTTCACATTCCAGGATGTCTGGCTCTAGGTGAGTGATCACACCATCGTGTTTATCTGGCTCGTGAAGATCTTTTTTGTACAGTTCTTCTGTGTATTCTTGCCACCTCTTCTTAATTGCTTCCGCTTCTGTTAGGTCCATACCATTTCTGTCCTTTATCAAACCCATCTTTGCATGAAATGTTCCCTTAGTATCTCTAATTTTCTTGAAGTGATCTCTAGTCTTTCCCATTCTGTTGTTTTCCTCTATTTCTTTGCATTGATCACTAAGGAAGGCTTTCTCTTCTCTCCTTTCTACTCTTTGGAACTCTGCATTCAAATGGGAATATCTGTCCTTTTCACCTTTGCTTTTTGCTTCTCCTCTTTTCACAGCTCTTGTAATGCCTCCTCAGACAGCCATTTTGCTTTTTTGCATTTCTTTTCCATGGGGATGGTTTTGGTCCCTGTCTCCTGTACAATGTCATGAACCTCCGTCCATAGTTCATCAGGCACTCTGTATATCATACTTTCATTCCTTACTTTTAAATCTATAAACCTTCATTTCACTTTATTATCTTATTGCATTAGCTGGAACTTCTACTATGATGTTAAATAGGAGTGGGGAGAAAGAACATCTTTGTCTTGTACCTGGTCTTGGCGGCGGCACCACATTTTCACCTTTAAAATGATGCTAGCTTTTCTATAAAAGTTCTTTATCAAACTGGAAAAGTTCCTCTCTATTTTCAGTTTACTGAGGTTTATTTTTGTTGTGGTGGTAGTTTTTTTAATCACGAATGGATACTACATTTTGTCAAATGCTTTTTCCACAACAATTGATATAATCATTTAATTTTTCTTAAGTCTGCTGATATAGTGGATAGTACTGATTGATTTTTGAGCGTTGAACCAGCCTTGCACACCTAAAATAAATCCCATGTGGTCCAATTTTTATACATTTTAATCCCATTTTTACATTGTTGGATTCAATTTTCCAACATTTTCTTGAGGATTTTTGCTTCTGTGTTCATGAGACCCACTGTTCCGTCATTTTCCTTTCTTGTAACATCTTTAAGTGGTGTTGGTATTAGTACAGTGTTGGCCTCACAGAATGACTTATAAAATGTTTGCTCTCATTCTAGTTTCTTGAAAAGATTGTGGAGAACTGGAATAATTTCTTCCTTAAATGTTAACTAGAGCTCCCTAGTGAAGCAATCTGGGACTGGTGTTATCTTTTCTGAAATATTATTAACTGTTCAGTTTCCCATATGAGGTAAGCACTATTCTTCTGCTAGAAATGGATTATATCAGTGTTTGTTTGTCTGGAAAAGATGTTATTTCTCCTTCATTTTTGGAAATTGTTTACTGGATATAGAATTTTAGGTTAGTGATTTTTTCCTTCAACATTTTAAGTAAAAAAATTATCCCATTCTCTTCTTATACACTTTTTGAAGGGGTTTGCTATATAACTCTTGTTCCTTTGTAGGTAAGGGTTTTTTCCTCTCCTCTGGCTTCTTTCAAGATTTTCTCTTTTTAAAGTTGATATATTACCCAGAAACATTTATGTTCCTATAGTTCTCATTTAAAAATACCAAATATCCTGGCAAATTTTGTTCATACATCTTACATCATATAAAATTTGAGGTCCAAATTTTTATCCCCATCTTATAGACATTCAAAGAGGCAGTGAGAGTTAGTAAGTGATTTGGTAGTTTTCAGAACCAGTGCCCTAAATTACTATGCTGTATTTGTTCCCACATGTAGCATCATGTCTCTTCTAAAATAGTCTAGCAAATGCTGAATGACAAGTCTCCTCAAGTCAAACTCACATCTTTCACTGTATGAATTTCCCTCTTGCAGCAAATAAAAAAATAATTGCCAAGCAGTATGTAGTTACCATCAACACTGTCTTACTTATTGTATAGGTTTCATTATCTAAAAGTAAAAATAATATTTATTTCCTTTTTGTCCACTTGTAATAAAATTCTAACTACCATACTGATAAAATTCTAGTCATAACTACCAACACATATGTTGCTTCAAAACACTAATACAGATTTTCAATTTAAAGAATATCCAGATATAATTATCCATTGAAAAGAAAAGCATGGAAGAACTTTCACAGTAGAAACACTGCTTGTGGTGTATGCCTGCAATTAATAACCCAGTGTCTTTACTATATGAGTAGTGAGTGCAACAATGGCATGGAAATCCAACAAGGTTTCGAAAGATCCATCAGTAATGGGCAATTTTCATTTGTTAAATTTCCCCATGATTAATGTTAAATTTGTAGTTACAACATTCGTTTTTACCTATCTCTAGACAGAAGGCAAGGTCATTCCCTCCTGCTTGAATCTTTAGTTGTGGTCAGAAATAATGCCTGTTTTCCTCACCTAGGGGTTCTCAGGCTTCAGAGAGTTTCTTTAAGATATTTCTCTATGGAAACGATATACAACAATATCTTCTTTCCTCTTTAATAATTTTATCTGATTATCATGGTAGCATTTTTTATACATTGTGTGTACTGGTTTACACCAATCAAGTCCATGGTTGGGTCACCCAGACTGTGAGTCAGTGTTTTCTTCCAAAGGAAATTAAAGAGAAGGAAGTCCAGAATGTACTCCTCCCCACCTCCTACGTGTTAACATTACAAAATATTTTACTTTGCTAAATTGGCTAGCATTTGGATATTTGTTTTTACAATTGACTATGATAGAAAAGTAAGAAAGCACTTCATATCTACTATTAAGAATTCAAAATAGATGAACTGAAAAAGAAAAACAATACTAGTAAGAAACTCCCACCATCCACCTCCCATACCACCCCATCCCAGGCTTTGGTGTATTTCAGTTCTGAAGGCTTCTTTTTAATTCCAAAGCAGAACATACAGAGGGAGTTAGAGCTTAGAATTCTAAATGTAAAATATTTAAATAAACATTTTAATAGATACCATCAGGTCTTCAGTATCACTAATATATTCAAAGACATAAAGCAAACACAATCAGCTATATGTTTAGGTTAGTATGGGGGAAGAGATATCTGATTTTAAATTCTTATATTTGGAAGGAAAATGAACAGAAGTAAAATGGAGAAGGGAATAATTTTTGAAGAAAATACTACAAACTAACTAGTATAGAGATATAACAGTCAATCTTAAAATACCAAACAATTCCTCCTCTCCATGAACCACATATCAAGTTGAGAGGAGCATGTATTTCTCCTCCCCCTGAATGTAGGGTGGCTTTTCAGCAACAGAGTGCAGAAAAGGAGGCGTTAAGAGACCACTAGCTTCTCTACCCTTGAAATGTTCATGTTTAGGGTATTCCCTTTCAGAAACCGGACACATTGAGAGGTCACATGGAGGAAAACTTATGAGATCTGCTTGCCAGCAGTTCTCAGCCAACAGCGAGCAACAGCTGTCAGCCATGTGAAGGAGCGCATTGGATGCTATAGCCCACTCAAGTTCTCAGCCGACTACAGCCCTAGTTGACGCTTTGACGCCATGTGAACAAACCATCCAGCTGAGTCCAATCAACTCACAGAATGGTAAGAGAATGTTAAGTCCCTAAATTTTGAGGTACACATATACATAAAAGATATATGTGATGCAAATAGCTGACTGGTAAACAAGGTCTAGCATAAACATATTAGGCTAATGATGACAAAAGGAGTTTAAGATAAATACCTGGCTAATATATGTATTCTAGTTAACTAAAATATTCTCATAGAGGATACAGATTTTTTTTTTTCATTTTAGGTATTTTTAAAGTAAAGGAGACAAAATTTTGGAAAGCATCTCTTCATAGTTCAATTGCATACTTAATGTGCACAGAAAAATAGAAGAGTTCAGTGGTACTTGATAAAACCAAAGTTTCCTTGAAAATGTTATATTATTTAAAGAGAAAAGGAGCAAAAAGAAGGGGTAAATCCTTAAATATAAGATATTTAAAAACAAAGAAAACTATCAAAAGTTTACTGAAAAATATGGAGGAAGGGGAAAGAATAGAAATGTAATTTTGGGAGGAAAAAGTAATTTTCAGTAATATAAGTGAAACAAAGTTTGAAAATGTCATCATGTGCCTTTGCTCTCATAATCCTTTTTCATATATGCTGTGGAAATGACCACATTCAATTTTTAAATGATTTGTTCATATGTCTGTTTCATATCACCAAACTATAATCATTTCCAGGGCAGAGATCAATCTTATTTACATTGTTATTACAAAGATAATATAGAGATTAAAGGATGGATGGTTAGTGAATGACTGGATGGGTGATTTAGTATAAACTGATACATGAAATTAGTTTTGAAACGCAGAATCAACGTATTGACAGATGCAGACATGTCAGAGATGTCTGTTTAGTTTGGGGGGTGTTCTGATTTTCTTGACATGAGATTCAGAGAAAGCTGGAAAACCCCCTCTTCTGGATATGCTAAGCATTTTATCTGGAAACACTGAAGGTGAACACTATGGTCCCTGCTCCGAAGAGATCATGGGATATTGGACAAGACTGAAATGTAAGAAGTGCCTACATGTGCAAAGGATTAATCTAAAGTCTTTTAATTTCATTATCTTTTTTAAAACACACAGGAGTAGCTTTATTCCCATTTGTAGGTAAAATATTAGGATGAGAGATATTCAGTAACTTGTTCAAGGCAAGCTAGTAAAATGAGAGAGTCAATATATAGTAATTCATTCTTTCATTTTTCTCTCTCTAGCTCCCAAACTACTGATATAAGTATTCATGTAAGTCTAAGCAAGGTGCTATGAGGGCAGGCGTAAAGCTTACTTGGAAGGAGGAAGCTTATATGGGATACTATGATAAGACTCCCATTGTGTCTGTATCCCTACTCACCACTTGTGTGGCTATTCTACAGAAACACAGAATGGCTACAAGCTTTTGGAATCATGCAGATTTGGGCTTAATTCTAGTAAATGTGGTAGATGTGTGGAAAAGTTACTTAGTCCACTCCAGTTTCTTCCTTCCCATCCATAAAATAGGAATAACCATGTGTACTTGAAAGAGCTATTATAAGGACCATACATGAGATGTATTAAGTATAGTGTGTGGCATAAATACTCTCTTGGAAAGTGGTGAGAATTAGTCTAATGAATTTTGCACTATAGCTATTCTGGTTTGTGGTTGGCTGATCTGATTCTGTGGGTCTGAAGAGGATATTTTCCCAGATGCACAAGATTTTAGAAGATATTCTTGGACACTCTTGCTAACCTAAGGGGAATTTTGGAGAGTCTTTTCTGACCTGACCAGTGATTACAGCCTTTACATTTTAGACCATATTTCCAGGAATGAGGTTTTAAATATCCTTCAGAGACCCAGCCTCACTCTTTATGATCTATTTCTTTGGCATTCAGAAGTGTTTGCTTCACCTGGCAATGTAATTTCTCCCTCGCCTCTCTGGCAGTCATCTTTTGCCTGTGGTTCTAGTAAAGCAAACAGTATTGACTTGACTTGCTAGGAAAAGTATTCCTTAAGTGTGTATTCCTCACAACGTTAAAAATAGAGTACTTGATCAGGGATCTTTAGACACATCTACTGGTTCATATTTTTGTTCAAATTCAGGGGCTGAATAAAAGTAAGTTAATTTTCAGAGGACTGTAAATAAAAAAATTCAGTGCTTATTTCTACCCCAATCCTGGCCTAATCCCAGCCAAAGCTGGATCTTTAAAATCTAGAATATCTGAGGTCTGGGGGTCTGCCTTCGGTTCTTATCAGGCAGCACAGCAAGGAGGGAGGTCAGAGCTCAGAATCCTGACTCCAGATAGCAATGGTGGCAGGAGAAACGGGTGAAAAGACAAGAATTCATTAATTCATTAAGGAGTGAGAGCCCAAGCAGGCGCTTACGGGCGAATGGGGAAGGGAATTTCTTAGAAGGGCTCCAGAATGTGGAGGAAAAAGAGCAGCTAATCTGAAATACAAAATTGAAAGACACGGCAGATGCACGATTCTAGTCTCCCAGATAAGATTCCTTCCGGAATTCAAAAGCATCTAAGAGAAGCAAGACAATCGGCTGCTGGGCTCAAGATGTAAACACAGTGCTGGCTGACACAGTGAAGATGTTTATTAGAAAAGTTAATGCAATGTCAGGGCGGAAGATCAATGTTTAACCTGATTTCATTGCAATGTATTGGCCTGCCTTGGAATACAGAATGGAAAATTAGCAAACCAGAAAAAGGAACATGTAAGGGACTTTTTCATAAGCAAGCTGTCAAATCACGGACACGGACACTGATTTTAAAAAGTTAGGGATTACTTGCATTTTCAGTTAACACATGTTCTTATTACTATATATGCACATACTTTTATTAATTTGAGAAATACATTGAAAATTTTATTTGCCTCAATATCTAGGTAAGGTCACAGAATGTTAAGAGATTCACTGAGTTCAGTTCTCTGATTTTATAGATTAAACCCTAAGGACCAAGTCTGCCACACGACTTTCAAGAAGTTACTCAGTGAAGTGGAAGTATGGTCAGTGACACGCAGTAAGTCATTTTACAGGTAAAGAAAGAGGGGCAGGAGACCAGTGGAAAGATGGTTGCCTGATCCATGAATCCAGTCCTGACAAGCCTGTGTTTGATATAGGAGGCCATGTCACTGTAAAAATATCTGTATAATTATTTGATGAAAATATCCCTGGAGTTTTTAGCTAATCCTCATCAAACTGTAAACAAAATAAAGATCATTTTCCACAGTCTAAAAATCAAAACATGTCCCTGATTGCTGGACTCAGATGAGTTAAAAGGGTTTTTTGATGCTCCAGCTTCTTATATTTGATAATTTGGATAAAATCTAATGGAGTTACTGCAATCTTTTTCTGCAGTGGTTATTAAAGCTGACATTTCAGTCTATATTTAAGAAGTTCTTACTGGAAAAGGAAACTAAGAAGTGTTTTGTTTTGTTTGCACTGCATCATACTTCAGAAAGACGAACACTCGGGAAAAAAAGAAGCTGTGTTTCCTGGACATGAAGAGGCCTGTTCCGGCCTCTTGGAGAGAGAAGCCCGGGCTTCTGCAGAGCAGCCCAGCGGTGACGTCACAACCTAGCCCCGCCCCTCCGCCTCCGGCAACGCTGGACCCGCGGAGCACACTCCCGGTCCCAGGCACGATTAGCAAAACCTCCAGCGCAGCTGTGCACCGAGGGTGACCAATTGAAAGACAAGGAGTCGGCCAATTAATTACATTGTCAGCAATAAATGTAACAATGGGCTATCGAGGCAACCCAGTCCTGTGATGCATCCAGGCAGCCATCTGTACGTCTGTCTTCCCCGTCCGCTGGGCACTTGTTGCTGCAGAATTGGTTTAGGCAAGTGGCTTAGTCTGTCAGGTAGCAAGCAGGCGTGTCCGTCCTCCTCTGAGTCTGTCTCCGTTAAGTTTCACACTTCTTTTAGAGAAATCAACTGTGCGTGTAAAGCTCACACAAAAAAGTGGGGATTCAGCCACAGCCCCGGCTCTAATGATGACTCATCCACGCCTGTGTTTATTTACTGCTCCCCCGGTGGCTCGGCTGGTAAAGCATCCGCTTGCAATGGGGGAGGCCTGGGTTCGATCCCTGGATTGGGAAGATCCTTGGAGAAGGGAATGGCTACCCACTCCAGTATTCTGGCCTGGAGAATTCCATGGGCTATATATAGTCCATGGGGTCCCAAAGAATTGGACTCGACTGAGGAACTTTCATGTTCACTTTGGTGACTCAGATGGCAAAGAATCTGCCTGCAGTGTAGGAGGCCAGAGTTCAATCCCAGGGTCAGGAAGATCCCCTGGAGAGGGGAATGGCTACCCACTCCAGTATTCTTGCCTGTGGAATTCCATGGACAGAGGAGCCTGGCAGGTTACAGTCCATGGAATCACAAAAAGTCTGGCACAAGTGATCGACTAACACTTTTCAACTTTTTTTTCAACATTTACTTACTAATATTTGTTGAAAGACTTCCGTTTGCCAGGTACACACTGATGAAGTATGTGAGAACACAGTCCATCTATATAGCAGAAATTAATGTACATATCATCTCTAGGGATTTCTGTATATTTTGCAGCCAATGCCCTAGATAGTGGTCCCTTAGAAAAATCCATTTTTATGGCCTATGTGGACAATTAAAATCACTGAGTTCTTCATTTTTTCTGATTGTTATTTTTCTTTGAATCAGTTTTGAAGATGGTAATTAAAAAATTAGAATAGAACGGCGGCACAGAGAAGTCTTATCTAATACTCATTTATTTAAGAACAGTGAAGCCTGTGACTTTATGTTATTGATTAATGTCTGATCTACTGTTCCTTTAGCTGAAGATGTGAACTGCTGGCTTGATAACCATATCTTAATTCCAACTCAATTTCACCAAATTCCAGAGGGATATCATTTCAGTCCCACTCCTCAGTATGAGGACATCTCTTAGAATCATTTGCATCTTTCTCCTGTTCATGCTCAGAGGGAGCTTTTAGAGTTTAAAACAGCTCTGAACAAACATTAAGGCTGCTGCTTCTATTCTTTCTACTGCTTTATTTTTAATCTTCCCCCCCATTACTAACCAGATCTGGCTTTCTCCTTTCAAATTCCTACCCATAAAAATGAAGCGTAATTATTTTAAATGAATGATGCTGAAAACTTCCTGTTCTTAATTTTTAAAAGCCGATGAGACACATGTTCTGTTTGTGTTTCTTGCTAGAGGTGCCCCCTGCCCCTCCCTCCTTTTTTAAACAGTCCAGAGCCTTTTCCTAAAATGAACAGGAAGTAGGAGAACCAGAGGAGAAGTGAGAATTTCAGTCAATCTTCCTTAGTCCATTTTCTTCATTCTGCCCCAAATAGGTTTTATGATGAGTTGGCATTTTAAAATAAACACCCTATTACTCTGATGAGAGGATTTGAAGCAAAATGTAGATTTGGGTGGAAATGAGTTTTTGATGATGCTGTAGTAACTGTCCTGTTCTTTGAACATTCTTTACAGGGAAGAAAGGAAGTGAAAATAACCTTCCATTTCTTTCCTTTCTTTCTTGTCTCTCCCTCTTTCTTTCTCTCCCTCCTTTCTTCCTTTTTATTCTTTATGTCTTTAAGCACTCAGTATGTGTCAAGACTGTGGTAGGTGCTGGTGAAAAGTAATGACATGGCCTGTGCATTCAAAGACCTTATAGCACAGCTGGGAAGACTGACAAGTAAAAACGCAATTTCGATTCCTTGTTTAAGTGCCCTCCACCCGGATTTTATGAAAGCTCTTTTATAAAAGAGATGCCTAACCTAGACTCGGCAGACTCCTCTAAGCAGAACTCAGAAGATTGATTAAGCATTAGTTAGGTAAATAGAGATGTGAATTATTCCAGGGCATTGGAAATACCAGGAACAAGGCCACAGAGCAAAGAGAGAACAGAGGAGTTTCAAGAAGTCTTTTTCCTGTCACCTTTCTCCCACCTAATTATGGAAAATCTTGTGAGTTCTATGTGAGTTCTAGGGGTGTGTGTCTATATGTATGTCTGTTTACAATAAAGAGAACTACACTTGTCTAGAGAACATAGGCTTGTCTGAGAATTCTGCTTAGAAATTTCTGGATAGGAGAAAAGATATGGATAATGTAATTAAAAACTACTATTTACTGGGTGCTTTAAGATGTGACAATCACTGTGCTAAATGACTTATTGTAATTTTCATTTAGAAATGTATTACTATTACCACTATTATTATTATGTGGTTACTTTATAAGCAAAGTTAAAGCTTTGAGGGTAAAGATGCCATCTAGGCAGGTCTCACCCTTTTAATATCTTATACTGCCTTGTGAATATATAAAGAGATAAAGATCTAAAAGAGAAAAAACAGACACAAAGTAACATACTTAAGAGGAGGAACAGCAATAGTAACTGTAAAACACATCCCTGTATCCAGGATGTGTGAGGCCCCAGGCAAAGTATTTTGGCAAATATGTGAAATAATCATATTTCTTATATAATCCACTGATAATTGTTCTTATGTAATGTCTTATATATAATTATATACAAATCATATAAAAATAATTATATGATTATATACACTCAATAATGGTCTTATCTAATATTTTACAGTTTAGAATGTGGAAATGAGAAATATATATATAAAATAATTCATAATACTGAGGAGCATGACCATAAGTAATATTTGAATTGTGATTTTCAATTCCTAAAATCATTTTCATATAACTATATTGAGTTTTATAAAAGTACATAAAATTTTACATTATTCAGTTTTTGCTGAAACTTAGCTACATGACAATCCCCAAATGTCTGTGACTTATAACCTCAAGCTTTTTTTCTCTTGACCTTTGACTGAAGGTTGGTTTTGCTTCTTTGATCTCATCTGGACTTGCCTGGCTTTGAGGGGACTACTCTCGACTCCATGCTTCCATCCTTCATCTTCATTCTGAGGCCCAGGATAAAGTGATAGCTTCTTGGGACATGTTATCCTCAGAGTGGATCACAGGAGCACAGAAGAAGGCAAATGAAACCATGGAAACACACTTGCTCATGTCATGTTTCTTAACCTCCCATCAGCCAAATCAAATCACATGGCCAGGGCCAACATCAATGGGAAGAAGTGTGTTCTATGCATAGTGGAAGGCAACACCAAGTTACAAGGCAAGGGATATGGAAGCATCATCCTACTACAGGGAGGATAAGAAATGAGGACAATAATGCTATTTACTAATGAGGACAGAATCCCAAAGAGTTAAGTGGCCTGCTCCTAACCACACAGTTAATAAGCAGAGCTGGGACTCAGGTGTTGAGTCTTTGTCTTTGTCTTAGGATTCTGACTTGTGTGCACTTTGCTATGATACAAAATGCTCTAAGAATGTAAAATGATTACTTGAGCCCCAGGAGTCCAAAAACTCTGAGGAAGAGGTGAGATTTGATAGACACATGGAGAGATATATAGATATTAATAGGTTAATTGTTCATACTGCTTTACCTGAGAGTCCCTGAGTAATCACTTCTCTTATCTGCCTCACCACCCCCTTCCCCAAAGAGTCCCCTTTTGGAAGATAAATTATGCAGTCACGTTAGGTTCTGATAAATGGATCAGAATAAGCATGGTGTTCCACTGAAATAGAACCCTGTGTATAATTCCTGAAAAAATAAACATGGTATATTCAAATGCAATGCAGAGACTAGCTTTTCTGGTGTAGTGGCTACAAGTTGAGGAGTATTTGGAGAAGTTTATTGGAGACATAGTTGAGACCAATTTGTTGGTTGCCAGACAGAGATGATAGGTTTATATTCATAGTAGGGAGCCATTGAAAATATTGGAGCAAGGTGGTGACAGCAACTACAGGTGTGATTTAGAAAAATAAATGTAGACAAGCTGAATAAAATTATGGGGTCAAGGGACTAGTTATTAAGTAAATTCAGTAGTCTTGTAATGAGTCCATGGTAATCTATGCCAAATTGAAGAGAATGGACTATAAGAGACAGGTATTAGAGCTGAGACATAAAAAAGTGTTAAACACTCACGTGGAAAATAGAGAAGGAAGTGAATAATGGGGGCTCAAGGAGGTCTGTGTTTGAAGTATGATTTTGAGAGTCTAGATTTGATATTTAATGTCTGACCTTAGACAAGGTACTTAACCATTTTGATAAGAAATTGGAGAACAAAGTCACACGTCCATGAAATACCAAGTATCTACTCCTCTAAAAGAAAAGTTAGCTATGATTACTCATTAATACATTAAAGAAACTTTTATTGTATTTCGGCTTTTGGCAGGAACATCTAGTTATTGGTTCTGGAGTATTTTCTCTGAGGAATACATTGTTCACTAGAAATAATTCTGTTCTTAGGAGCTTATGGTCTACGAGAGATATACGTAATAAGCCAAAATATACAAGACACAGGCACAGAAAAGTACTATTGAATTTTGGGGTGGGAGTTATTTCCAGTTGTGGGAACCATTTACAAAGAAGGAAGCACTCCAAAACTCTTAGAAGGGATACACTGGCCCTCCACGACCTCTACCCTATGGCTGCGTAGGGGCCCCTCCCTCCACCTGACCCACTCCCCAACCTCCAGTTCCCCTCTGAGGCCTTTTCCCTCAGTGATATCTCATTATCTTTTCCTCCTGTTATAGCCTCCCAATATCTGTTTTCTTCCTTGACCAATTAGAGTTGCTATACCTCCAGGGGGCTAAGGTGCTAACCCCTCACAAG